GACGCGTGCGAAGGGTGTGCCGAGGTGGGGCGGGGCCGCGAAGCGTGTGAGGGGTGTGCCGAAATGGGGCGGCGGTGCCACGCAAACCTTCCCAGTGGGGTTTGAGGTGGAGCTCCATATGGGGCCGCGAAGCGCGTGAGGGGTGTGCCGAAACACAGACATGCGGAGGGCAGAGGCAAGGAGGGGGAGGAGGGAGGAGAGGGAGGAGGAGAGAAGGAGTGACGCGGGCGCTGTCTCTTCAAAACGGGAACCCAACACCACAGGGTGACTGGGAAAAGTACCATGGCTACCGGAGGGGATCAACAATACTCGCTATTTATATATATATATATATATATATATATATAAGAGCTCAGCAACAATAACAATGATATCAGCCAGCGTTGATTCCAAATAGATAGGAGGACAGGAGGAGGACGAGAGGAGGATGGCAGGAGGACGAAAGGAGGACGGGAGCAGGACGGGAAGAGGAGGGGAGGAGCAAAATCAAGCAAGCGCAAGCAAGCGAGCAAGCGGAAGCAATCAAGTGCAAGCGAGCAATAACGAGCAAGCAAGAGCCAGCGATCACGTGCAAGCAAGCAAGGGCAAGCAATAGCAAACAAGCGAGAGCAAGCACGCAAGAGCAAGCAGGCAAGCGCCATTGGAAAAAGGGGGGCCATTGAAAAAAGGAGGGTGTCATTGGAAAAAGGGGGTTGCTAAAGACCAACTACTTATGTTGAGTTGGGACTCATATAGGGCAAGCCTAGTTTCATAAGAATACTAATAATAATACTAATAACAACAACAACAACAAGAACAACAACAACAGCAACAATAGCAGCAACAACAACAACTAATGAAACTACAACTACTAAACTTAAAACTACAGTTGTAATAACAACATGAACAACAATAACAATAATAACAACACCAGCAGCATCAACGGCAACAGCAACAATAACAGCAGCAGCAACAATAACGTGCGGTTCGTTTTTTTATTATTGTCGCGTGTATATGACTGTGACTTGCGTGTATGGTAAAGTGTGGTGTGGCATGCAAGCGTGGTATAGGATTATTTGCTTCGAATTTCTCCAAAAATGACACTCCAAACAAGATTTCTAACTAAACGATAGAAAGCAAAGCATGCACACATACCAAAAAACACTGCCAACAACACAAAACCAACTAAAACACAACTACATGTCTCATCGCGGCAGATTCCCAGAGCTCCGCGCCCACGCTGCCCCCCTTCGCTGAGCTCCAGAGGGGCGCGGGCCCGGAGAGACGTCTCCCTCCGTTGCTGCTTCTTCTTTTCGTGCGCTGCCGCCCGCCTGGCAGGGCGGGCACTTGCTGGCACCAGACTCAGCGCTCCTCCTCCTCCTCCTCCTCCTCCTGCTGCTACTCCTCCTCCTCCTCCTCCTCCTCCTCCTCCTTCTCCTCCTCCTGTGCTCCTTCTCCTACTCCTCCTCCTCCTCCTCCTCCTCCTCCTCCTCCTCCTCCTCCTCCTCCTCCTCCTTCTCCTCCTCCTCCTCCTCCTCCTCCTCCTCCTTTTGCTCGTCCCCTGTGCTCCTCCTGCTCAGCCTGCTCCGCCTCATCCTCTCCCTAGTCGGCGGTGCGCTGCCTCCACCTCGGGTGAACGCCTCGCAAAGCTGTCATACATACGCAAGCCTCCCGCCGAGCCTAACTAAAGGGAGAACGGAAGATGGCTTGGCAAAGGTTTCCGCTCCAAGAGGAGTGGGGTCTCAGTCGAGTTGTTTTCGTTTTGCTCCATCTTGGTGGGGTCCTTGGACGCTGATGTCGAAAAAAATCTTTCTCTCCCCCATCCTCTCCTCCTCCTCCTCCTCCTCCTCCTCCTCCTCCTCCTCCTCCTCCTCCTCCTCCTCCTCTTTCTCCTCCTCCTCCTCCTCCACAATCACTCAATATGAATACTACTCTCCTCCTTCCCCTGATGTCGGGTTGGGAGTGGTCGCCCCCCCCCCCTCGCGCATTGTTTTTTAAACACACAGGATTCCCCGGAGTTGGGTTTTCGCCTGCATGTTTTCCAAAATGCTGCTCTCGCTCAGGCGCCGGCCTCATTTTCGGGCCCCGCTCGTTCCGAATCGTGCTCCTGCTGCAGCGCTGGCCTCATTTCTGTGCTTCCGCTCGTTCCGAATCGTGCTCCCGCTGCAGCGTTGGCCTCATTTCCCGTGCCATGCCACGGCATGCAATGCAATGCTAGGTTGCGTTCCGCTGCGCGATGCCATGCCTTCAGCTGAAGCTGTGATACGCAGTGTTTAAGTGCCACGTCGTGCTACGCCATGCTACGCTTTGATCTGCAACGCCATGCTACGCAATGTTATGTTCGGGGCCGCTGTGCGATGCCATGCTTTGCGTTGCAAAGCTTTGTGATGCAATTCTTCACTACGCCACGCCACGCCATGCTGTGACATACTACGCTTTGCGGTGCTCTTCTACGCCATGCCACGCCGTGCTCTACAATGCATCGCGTACCCTTTCGGGATCATTGCCCTGCTCGACATCCGACTGTGCGAGTAGAGAGGGGATCTACGCCATGGTAAGGGATGGGAGGGAGGGGTAGGATATCAGATATGACGCGAGCGCACCTCGCTTGTCCTCCTCCCCTCTCCTCCTCCCCCTCCTCCTCCTCCTCCTCCTCCTCCCCTCCTCCTCCTCCTCCTCCTCCTCCTCCTCCTCCTCCTCTCCTCCTCCTCCTCCTCCTCCTCTTCCTCCTCCTCCTCCTCCTCTTCCTCCTCCTTCTCCTCCTCCTTTTCCTCCTCCTCCTCCTCCTCCTCCTCCTCCTCCTCCTCCTCCTCCCCTCTCCTCCTCCTCCTCGTCATCATCAGCAGCCTCATCAGCAGCATTATCATTGGTGGTGGTGGTTAGGTTGGGCGTCGGAGCACGGCCTCCGGCGCCCCCTGCCACGAGCAGGGCGCGCGGAGCACGGCCTCCTTGCGTGCCTTGTTTCACTCGCCGTTCGCGGAGCACGTGCTCCTCTAGGTCCTGGCCACGGGGGCACGTGCCCTGTCGGGTGGCCCGCAGGACCCGCGCCTGATGCGTAGAGGTGCTTTGTTTTCGCCGGCGCAGCGCGCCCTCGGGCTCGTGGGAGGGGCACCGTTTCTGTGCTGCGTGGCGCAGTTTAGGCGCATGGCGACGCATGTGGGCACAGGTGGTGCCTGTCAGAGAGCCTGCAGCTGGCACGCGTGGGAGGGTAGCGTGGCAGTCGGCGGCGAGGCGTGGTGGGCGCGAGCGCTTCGGCTCCGACCCACCTTGGAGAGCGGGGTCATCATCATCACCATCATCACCATCAGCATTATCATCATCAACAACAGCATGGTCACGTTCGTCCTCATCATCAGCAGCATCAACATTAGCATCATCAGCATCGTCATCATCATCGTCGTCATCATCGTGGCCATCAGCATCAGCACCATCATCGTCCGAATCGTAATCGTCATCGTCACTGCCATCATCATCCTCATCATCATCATCCTCATCATCATCCTCATCATCAGCCCCCTAATGTCCCGTCAGCTGAGGCGCGGGGAGGGGGATCAGGAGGAGGACGCCGCACCTCCGCGGCTGGACTTGGCGCCGCGTGCGCCCTGGACGCCTCCCCGGGCGCGGAGTTCCGAGAAGGCTTGGGCCCGGGTCTGGCGGCGCGAGGCTCTCGGGCGATGCGTGTCCTCTCTCTCTCTCTCGCTCTCTATCGCTCTCTTGTGTCTATCCCTTTTTCTCCTCTCTCTCCCTCTCTCTCACTCCCTCTCGCTTCACCATTACACCATATGAATACTGCTCTCCTCTCTCCCCTTACTCCGTCCGGGTCTCCCGCCCTCTCCGCGTGTTGGTTGTATTACACAGGGGTTCGTTGTTTTTGTTTTTCTTGTTCCCTACCTAGGCTCTGCCTAGAAGAGTTCTTACTCTCTTAGCTTAAAGGGGCCGGGCAGTGGAACACGCCCCGGGCGGTTCCCCCAGTCCCCTGGGAGCGGTTCCCCCGAGTCCCCTGGGAGCTTTAGCTTTAGCTTTAGCTTTAGCTTAGCTTTAGCTTAGCTTTTTAGCTGTAGCTTAGCTTTAGCTTAGCGTTTCGCTTAGCTGTTCGCTTAGCGTTTAGCTTAGCTCTAGCTTAGCTTTAGCTTAGCTGTAGCTTAGCTGTAGCTTAGCTTTAGCTTAGCTTCAGCTTAGCTTTAGCTTAGCTTTAGCTTAGCTATAGCTTAGCTTTAGCTTAGATTTAGCTCAGGTTTAGCTTAGATATAGCTTAGCTTTAGCTTAGCTTTAGCTTAGCTTTAGCTTAGCTTTAGCTTAGCTGTGGCTTAGCTCTAGCTTAGCTTCAGCTTAGCTTTAGCTTAGCTTTAGCTTAGCGTTACTGTTACTACTAATGCTGCTTTCCTAGGGGTTCCAACTCCTAGGTAGGGTCGCACTGGGATAATGTGATTTTTCCATCCGGCTGTTTTCGGTTCTTCCAAACTGGTGTTCCCGTTGCAGCGACGCCCTCGTTTCCGCGCTTCGGTCATTCAAAATCGTGCTCCCGCTGCAGCGCTGATCTCGTTCCCGCGCCTCCGGACGGCACTTGGCATTCGAAAACGCCCACATCGGGTAGGCACGGTTGCGGAGGACGTGGAGCTTTGTCCCGTCGTAAACGGGCCATTTACCCTTACCCATCCAAGTCATCTGGCGCCATGCCACGGCATGCAATGCGATGTTATGTTGCGCACCCTTGTGCGGTACCATGTTTTGCGTTGTTATGTTTTGTGATGCTATGCTGCACTACGCAATGCCACCACACGCTATGACATGTTATGACATGGTGTGTTCTTCTACGCCATGTGTTCCATCCATCGCGTACCCTCCTCTTGGGATCATTGCCGTGCTCGACATCCGGTTGTGCGAACAGCTTGGGGATCTACGCCATGGTGAGGGATGGGAGAGAAGGGTAGGACGTCAGATGTGACGCTAGCGCACCTGGCTCTCCCCCCTTGTCCTCCTCCGTTCCGGGGGGGGGGGTCTCTGCCTTGCTGGCCCGCCAGGACGCCTGGGTGCCGTGGCGGAGCTCCTGCGCGAGCTCGGCTCGCCGGGCGGTGCGGCGGCGGCCCTGCCCCCGAACAGGCCTTTTGCGGGAGGGTGCTCCCCTCCCGCCCCTTGACCGCCCCCCCCTTCCCGCCTGCCCCCCACGCCCCCCGTTCCCCCGCCCCCTTGCCCTCCTTCCTCCCAGCCTCCCCCCTCCTCCCCCCCACCCCCCCAACCCCCCCCTTCCTCCCGCCCCTCCTCCCGGGAGAAGGGCTTGGGTGAACAACGGAGGGTCTTCTCCCCTTCCTCCCGCCCCTCCTCCCGAGAGAAGGGCACGGGGGAGCCATGGATGGTCTTTTCCGCTTCCTCCCGCCTCTCTTCCCCCCTTTCTCCCGATCCTGCCCCCCTCTCGCCCCTGTCCAGCCCCCCCCCCCCCTTTTCCCGCGTCCCTCGGCCCCCCCCTCGATCCCCCCCCACACCCCCCACACCCTTTATTGCTTCTGCCCTCCCTCCATGCGGGGCGAGGCCAGAGCCTCCCTTCTATCCGCCCTTCTCCCCTCCATCGTCTCATCTTCCTCCTCCTCCTCCTCCTCCTCCTCCTCCTCCTCCTCCTCCTCCTCCTCCTCCTCCTCCTCCTCCTCCTCCTCCTCCTCCTCCTCCTTCCCAGCCATGCTAAAACCTCTAAGCTCAGGATGTGCACCTCGCAAAGCGAGGTCAAAGGCAAAAGGCAAGGCAAAAATAATTGAAGGCTAGACCAACCATCATGTGCACACCGCACACGGTTTGAGCGCTGGCCTTAATTTGGCCGCCTTGCAGCTTGGGCAGACAAACAGCAACGCCACAGGTGTTGGTCATCCCGTTCTTGGGAACACTAATCTTCACTCGCTGTTGGGAACGCAGAGGCAGAGGAAAGAGGCATCGACCCAGAGCGCACTGTGACTGGCAACACGTTCGACTCTGAAGCGGACCCGCACATCAACTCCCACAGGATGCTGGCCCACGGCTGGACAAAGTCTGTCTGAGTTTCTTATCGTTCTGGCCGCGGCAAGGAAATCAGACACGAGCGTAAGTTTCCATAGAAAGGCGGGTGCGACTGCTAAAAATGATGTCCTCCTCCTGTTCATCCTTATATTCCCTTCCCTCCTCGACATCCCCACCCGTGGACGATGTCTGGCCCTCCTTGGGCCTGGACACCCAGGGCCCCGGAGACTTCCAGGGACCTCCAGGGGCTGCCGTGCGCCGCCAGAAGGGGATAGGCGAGGGGGGGGGGGGGGTGCAGCCCGCAAGGCGGAGCGGGAAGGTCAGGAGGGAGTGGAGGGGAGGGAGGGCATTGGCGACGGGGAGCAGCGGAGGGAGGAGGGGAGGAGGGGGGTGGAGGGAAGGGGGCGGGCAACGGTTGGGAGGCTGCGAGGCTGGGAGGGGAGGGGAGGAGGAGCAGAGCAGAAGGGACGGAAGGCGGTGAGGGCGCGGGGCCCTCGGCGGACCCACGGCCGCCCACAGGTTGCGCGAGATTCAGGGCGAGAGGTGGGCGCAGGCCGCGGCGTCTCCTTCCTCGTCCTCCTCCTCCTCCTCCTCCTCCTCCCTCCTCCTCCTCCTCCTCCTCCTCCTCCTCCTCGGCCTCCCGCTCCTCTCCTCCTCCTCCTCCTCCTCCTCTCCTCCTCCTTCTCCTCCTCCTGCCTCCTCATCATCATCCTTCTCCTCCTCCTCCTCCTCCTCCTCATCATCATCCTTCTCCTCCTCCTCCTCCTCCTCCTCCTCCTTCTCCTCGTTCTCGTTATCCTTCTTGTTCTCGTCGTCGTCCTCCTCCTCTTCCTTCTCCGCCTCCCATGTGCGTGATACTGATTCGCAGCACGGCTGTCGCAGGAGGAGAAACTGGATTCCGTGAGTTTCGTTTGCTTGTTCCTCCTCCTCACTCCGCCTCCGGCTCCTCCTCCTCCTCCTCCTCGTCCTCCTCCCTCTCCTCCTCCTCCTCATCCTTCTCGTCGTTATCCTCATCCCCCCCCCTGATTCCTGATTCCTGATGGCTACCAGGTTCGTCGAACGCAGCCACACCCAGCTCACCCCCCGAGGGCTGAGCTGGTGTTGAAAAGGTTGCACGCCAACCGAAAAGGGGGGCTTCCCCTAGAGGAGAGGGAGAACGACGGAAGGGGACGACCCGAGAGGGCAAACAGCAGGGGAGGAGGAGCAAGAGAGGCGAGGAGGAGCGGGAGGGCAGCAGGCACGATGAGGAGAGGCGGAAAAAGAGCGGGGAGAGGCCCCGAGCAAACCAGAAAAACCGTCCAGCGCCCCCCCGATTCGAAAAAGGGGCATGGGCTCAGAGGCAATGCAACCGTGCCGACGACGTGTCAAAAGCGAGTGGGGGGGCGCTGGAAGGGGTCCCCGGGCTGGCCGGGGCCTCGATCTCGCTTTTGCGGCTGGTGGTTGGTGGTTGGCACAGCAGGCATCCCCTTCTCTTCTTCTCTCCCCCATCCTCCTTGATCTTCCTCCTCCTCCTCCTCCACCCCCTCCTCCTCCTCCTCCTCCTCCTTCTCCTCCTCCTCCTCCTCCTCAGTGAGCTGTCGCAGAGCGCAGCCCGTGGCGATCCTGGTCAGCTCGCCAGCGCATGCGTCGGTGAATGGCTGGCCAGCAGTCTATCCACCGTGCGCCGAGTGCTGAAGGTGCGAGCGGCCCGTGCTCGGTTGGGCATGCTGGCGGCTGTACACTCGCCGTGCTTTGGGGTTTGGCGGTTCACCCCAGTAATCTCCGCCCCACCCCAACCCAGTGCAAGCACGCCAGAGAGAACACTGTTGTGGGTCCAGTGGTGCTTTTTGTCGCATGATTCTCTGGTTTAGCACCAACCCTCTGGTGGCGAAGGGTGCGATTAATGCGGGCAGTGCGGTCTAAGTCCCGATCCTGTCAGACAGGTGTGCGGGTGAGCAAGGAGGGAGAGGGGGACTCCCGGCGGACGGCCGCGGAGACGGCGGAGCCCGCGGGGAGAGAGAGACCGAGGAAAGTATATGTCCTGACTGGGGCGCGAAGCGGCTGGGAGTGAGGGGGAGGTTGGGTGAAGTGGCTCATGGTTCCCAAGCCTCCGGCCATTGATTTACAAAAGTGGCGGCTCACCAACTCGTCGCATTTTCTTGGCCGCCCAGCCGTCGGGGAGTCCGGGAGTGGCCTCAGCTGCCCCTATGGCCGCTTACCCGGGTTATGCCCCCCACGGGCTCCCTCTCAGGGCATGTGGCCATTCGGAGCGCGGCCGTCGTGGGGGTCGCGGGGGCCATCGGGTCGGGCAGGGGGTCGAGGGGGCTTTCGTGGGGGCCGTCGGGAAAGGTCGCGGGGCGTGCGGAGAGAGGTCGTGGGGAAGGTGGGAGATGGTCATATCCTCTGGAGCTGCCGCCGGCTCTGTCGCCAGGCGGCAGGGAGTGGATTCGGCGTGTCGGAGTCGTCGGAGGTTTCGTCCTCGTCCTCCTCGAGGTTTGTCTCGTCTGCGGAAACGTCGCCGTCTTCGTGGCCTCGCTCGTACTGCTGGGCGTAGTAGACGTTGTGCTCGCCGCAGACGTGGCAAGAGTTCAGGCGCTGCGCCGAGGCGCGTGGCTGGAGGCCGCGCTGCTCGTCCCTCTCGCTCTCGTTGCGCAGCCGGGTGTGGCGGCCGCCCGTCGTAAGGGGAGTGGCGCGCGCTTGCAGCACGTAACCGCTTGCCCAGGGCCCAGGGGTGGGCGCGCCCTCCTCCGCTTCCTCTGCCTCCCTGGGGTGGGGGTTTGCAGGAGTGGTCGGGTTGAGTAGAGAGTCGTCGTGGAGGCCGTGGGGCACGGGGTCGGGGGAACGGGGTCGTGGGGTCGGCGGTCTTGTCGTCCGTTTTCTGGGCCGTCCAAATGTCCGTGAGGGAAGTGCTGTCCGCGTAGTCGCGGCAGTCCCAGCGGGGGGTCGGGCGCAGGGTGCGCATCGGGCGCGTCGTCGGGGCCGCCATGGAGGCCGTCGTAGGGGCCGCGTCGGGGGGCCGTCGTGGGGGCCGCCGGGTGGTCGTGGGGGGCCGTCGTGGTGGTGGGTCGTGGGGGCCTTTGGTTGGGTCCGGGGGTCGTGGGGCAGTCGGGGGGTCGGGGATGGTCTCCAGGGGGTGGCTCAGGCTGTACCTGTGGCCGTTTTCCCGGTTATGCCCCGCGCAGGCTCGCCACTCGGGATGCTGGGCCCGCCGCGGGGCAGATGGCGCAGGCTGCAGGCTGGCCAGCGGCCCCCATGGCCGCTTCCCCGGGTAAGCCCCGCGCGGGCTCCCTCTCAGGGCATGCGGCCATTCGGGACACGGCCGTCGCGGTGGTCGTGGGGTAGGGGGGCGTGGGGGCCGTCGTAGGGGTCGTCGTGGGGGCCGTCGCGGGGGTCGTCGTGGGGGTCGTCGTGGGGGCTAGGTGGCAGCAGGCCTTGTAAGCCTGCTGCTCCCACTCGGGGTGTTGGACAGACACGGCCTTGCGCTTAGTATGCCTGTCTGCGGCAGCGCTGCCTGCAGATGTGCGTCGCCCGACTGTCTGCCTCTCGGCAGTCGTGGCGTGAGCTTTCACTTCGATGAGGCTCACGCACTCCAGCGAAACGCCGCCCTGGTCATGGACACGGTGCCACAAGCGGTGCTTGGGGTCGTCCGCGAGCGAGCCAGGCCGCGCGGACTACTCGGCCCCGCGCTCCACTCCTCTCGGAAGGTTCGCGCAGTCCATGTGGACGTTGATCGGCACCACGACGACCTGCAGCACCATGCCGGTCGCCCACAACTCCGCCAGAAGTATGCCCTGCTTGCGCTGCTCAACAGGGAGCGGCTCAGAACGGGGGATACTTATCCTCCCCTGCATCGTTCAGCACAGCGAAAGCCCATCCGACTCGTGGTATCCCGGGGTACCGATGGTGGATCAGGGAGCCGTGCGTGAAGGTCTCTTCTGTGACGTGACGAATCCAGGCTCCTCGCCCGTGATGTCGCAGGCATCCGAGATTGGGAGGGGGATCAGGGATCCAGCTGAGTCCTCGCACAGGCCCCCCACCCCACAGCATCTTGAACCCAGGCCATGGGCTGGCCCCTCGCCGCACCATGTGGTGGCCTCCCACGTGGCGGCTGGCCCCTTGCCGGCTAGCGCACCAGGGCGCTCTGCGTTTATTACTAAGTCGGGCCTGTTCCTCTACAGGCTAATATTCAAAAATGGTCAAAAAAATGTGTATGGGGACGATGCTTGGACTGGGAGCATGTTTTGACCATTTATTATTTGTCGTCCAAAATCCGCCTGTAAGAGGACACGCCCGACCTAAAACACTATAGGCTTACGCCACATCCGCCGACCCCTTAACTGAGTTCAAGGGTTTGATGGTGCTTTTCGGTGTTTGGAGGCTTCTTGGGGCGGAAGGCTCGAATTTCCGTTCGGGGTTCCCCTCTTGGGTCCGTGTTGGGACCGGCTTGGAGGCTCCTTCGGCCGGTCATGGGGCCTCTTGGGCCATCTTGGCGGTTTCTTTGGCCGTCTGGTGGTCTTTTGGGCCGTCTTGGAGCCTTTTTGGGTGTTTTTTTTGGCCCGTTCTGGACCTAGTGACAGGCCAACAAGCAAGTATGATAAACATGTACGTTTACCGGAGGGAATTGGACGATGTTGTCGTCTTCGGCCGTTCTCCAGGAGCCACTTGTAGGTTTCTGGCGGCGTCTTGCAAACATCCAGGACCGTTGGGGACCATTGCGAGAGTGTTGGAACAAACGTTCGGCGATTTGAGGCACTCTTGGGCCGTGTTGCGGGCCTCTTGGGAAGCCTCATGGGCTCGCATGGAGCTCTAAAGGGAGCCCGGGCACGCCATGATCCCCCGTGGTGAGTTCGGGGGTGCGACGTCCGCGGCCTGGGGGGGGGGGGGCACATGTCCAGTTTGTGGTCCCAGAGAGTGTGGGGGAGTATGGCGCATTCAGCGCAGGGCCGGACCACGGGGGCAGTGATAGCGGACCTTGAAAGAGGGCGCGGCGTCAATTGGATGTTAAGTTACGTTGCCATCACGCGCGTACGCAGGCGAGAGAACCTTTTGATGTTCCGGCCCTCTGACAGGAAGCCGTACAACGAAGGTGAGATGGCTGGCACGAAAATGCTGTTGCGGGTGCTACGAGGGGAGGGCGTGGATTGAGATGACTGGGAGGCTGAACTAATGCCCCGAGACCACTGCGAGCGCTGCCCGCGGAGGTCGCTGGCAGAGGGGCTCACGAAATACGAGTTCCATAGGAAGGAGAGGCCTGCGCTTTGCAAAGAATGCACGGGCGAGATGAAAAACGCGGACCAGAAATGGTGCACAACGCGCAGAGGGCGGGCAACCCAAGCGGAGAATGACGGTGCGACGCCGCATGTCAGCTGTCGGAGAGGGGACGCAGCGGCCGACGAGGGGGAGGCAAAAAGGATTCGGACAATGCACAGCGCGAAGTGCAGCCACGTCAAAACCAAGCAGAATTCGCGGAGCATCAATGCGAAATGGAACGAGAGCGTCGGCACAGTGCGATGTTCGAACGACAAGTGCCTGTCGCTGGACGACGAGAAGGCAGATATGTCGGAAGCTCAGAAGAAGCACAACGCAGCAGGCGAGAGGTTTGTGTCGGAAGTGCGCGGAGAAGCGGGGGAAGGCGGTGCTGTGGACAAATTACGAAGCAGGGAACTGCATACGGAAAGCGGAGGCGGAAGCGGAGCCGCTGACGTGCGGCGCGCCTGGTTGCGGGGTGTCCTTCTGGGAGGCCGGCCATTTGAAGCGCAACCAAATGGAGGACCACGGGACGAAGAAAGGAGCAAGAGTGGTGTGCGAAAGTTGTCAGAAGCGGGCCATCACCGCGAAGGGTATGGCCGATCAGTCGAAGCGGATGAAGCGACTGCTGATGTGCGCAGCACGCAAGAAACAGTTCGCTCGACAGGAGAACATATGCGCCAAGCAGGAGAGCGAGCACTTCACGGGAAAGAGTAAAATTGCACGCGCAGACTGCATTGCCGACGGGTTCACGTCGCGCAGTTGGCAGGCCTTCCAGCGCAATGGCAAGTGCCAGAGAACATTGCCGAAGTCGGCTTTCTCCGTGGACGCGAGCAATGTCGCGCGTGACGAGAAGAAGGGCACCTTGAAATGCAAAGCATGCAAATTATACCAGTAGGGCGCCCGTGCCATGGCCCGCTGAAGTAGGAGCAGCGGGGGCGCGAGCGAGAGGGAGGACGAAGCCGATGACAAGAGGAACGCAAAGAAGATGAAAGCGGAGGAGGAGGAGGAAGAGGAGCAGGGGGAAGATGGGGGACAGGCGGAAGGGGAGTCAAAGAAGAGGGGGAGGAGGAAGAGGAGGAGGAGGAGGAGGAGGAGGAGGAGTCAGGATCTGGTCTTGAGGCACCACGGTGGCGTTTTGGAGATAGTGCATGGGCCTCTTGGGGGTTGTCTAGGAGCCTGTTGGGAGCCTCGCGGGCCTCGCTTGGCGCTCCCCGCGCAGCAGGCTGGGAAAATCTCGGAACCAAAGGACGAAAGAATTGCCCTCCAGGCTCCCTCTCGGAGCCGTCTGGAGGCCCTCTTGAGCCGTTTTGGGCGCTTCTTGGGCCGTCTCTGGGCCCCCTGAAACCTCTCTCGGCAGTTGCCGAGGCCGCCCTGGGAGGATGTGGACGGCGTCGTAGCCCGTGTCGGACTCTGCGAAACCGGAAGAGGCCAATATGGTAAAAATGAACGTTTTACGACGGGGATGAGACGATTTCTGTTTCTTCGGGTTGGCGTGGGACGCCCCTTGGGGGCCTCTTGGGTCATCTTGGGGGTTTCGCAGGTTGTCTGGAAGCCATCGTGGGCGTCTTGGAACGATATTTCGGCGACCCGTCGCCCTCTTGGACGATCACGGAGGCGTTTTGGTGCCCTCTTGACTCGTTTTGGGGCCCTCTGTTCCCCCATGACGCGTGCGGCGGTGGGCCGTCCCGGGCGAGGGGGGGGCGGTCGAAGGTTTGGGGTCCCAGGGGGGGGGCTTATGGGGGGGGGGGGAGAATCTCTCTCACACGCCTGAAGGCCCACAAGGGGTCGGCGGATTATCAGTGCCCTCGTCTGCGCAGCAAGCTCAGCAGAGAGGCGACTCGAACGCGCCAGCGCCATGAGGCCGTGATCGGGTCAGAGAAGAACCGCCGAAGAGCCCTCGGACGCTGGCGAGGTGCTCTGCCGTCCAGGAGGGGCTGAACGGCCGACGCACAAGGCTTCCGACAGGCACCAAAAGAACCTGCGCAGCTTGTCGACGTCGGCACCCCAGTGCTGGAACCACGGGTCCTGGAGGAGTTGATCGGCGTGTTGCCTAACCATGTCGAGCATGTGCCACAGCGTCGCAGATGGCAATCGATCACGGCAGCTTCCACGGTGACAGGGGTAGATAGGGGGATTGCTATGTCTTGGAGGAGCTGACAGGTGTGTTGCCTAACCATGTCGAATATGTGCCACAGCGTCGCAGATGGCAATATATCACGGCAACTTACTTCCACGGTGACTAGTCGTAGATAGGGGATTGCGATGTCCCATGCAACCAGGCCTGCGCGCTCGGCTAGTCGCATACATCGAAACAAATTGCACAAGGCTGCAAGCAGCAGATTCCCCAGAGAAGGGTCGCCAACTGCTTCATGTCGCAACGAGGAAAGGCAGGAGAGGGACGAGGGGGAAAAGGAGCAAAAGGAGGACGAGAAGGAGAGCGGGAGAGGAAGATAGAGGGAGAAGGAGGAGGAGGAGGAGGAGGAGGAGGATCGGATCGGATCGGATGTCCGCGAAAGAGCTGCGGTCAGCTTCAGCCAGGGGCGTGTCGAGGCCAAGGGTGCCACAGGAAGAAGAGGAGGAGAAGAAGGAGGAGGCGGTGGAGAACCGGGAGGAGAAGGAGCAGGAGGAGGAGGAGGTGGCGGTGGGGGGTTGAGCCCGCCAGTGGTGCACAGTTCGTTGAGCTCAGAGTAGACTCCTGAGTGTCCAGCGGGTCCGCCAGGTCTGCGGATGGCATTCGGCGCAAGGAGGAGGACAAGGAGGAGGAGGAGGAGGAGGAGGAGAAGAAGGAGGAGGAGGAGGGGGAGGGAGAGGTGCAGGAGGAGGAGGAGGAGGAGGAGAGCCAGGAGGAACGGAAGAAGGCGCAGCCAGGGAGGGAGGGGGGGGATGATGAGGACAATGAGGACAAGAAGGAGGAGGAGGAGGAGGAGGAGGAGAAGGATGAGGAGGAGGAGAAGAAGGACGAGGACGAGGAGAAGTGGAGAAGCAGGGAGGGAGGGAAGGAGATAGGGAAATGAGGAGGAGGAGGAGGAGGAGATGGAGGCCCCCAACCCCTCCACCCAGCTATCCTGGACGGCCATTGCGGGACGAGCACTCGCCGGCATCGCTGCGGCTCCCCTTCCCCCCCCCCCCCCCCCGGGGCGCCGGCCAGGCCGCGTGCTGGCCGTCGGGGCAAGCGCCGTCCATCGAGGAACCAG